GTAAATGGCAAAGTTATATGTGTTAAATGTATTGTATTCGTCTGATTGTTCGGTAGAATCATTCGAACAAACTAAGGGAATGAAACTACCGAACAGTCAGACCTCCCCTGTGTGAAGTGTGCCTTCAATTACCCGTTGCAACATTGTTGCGAACGGGTAATTGACAAGCTGAGTAGCAGTCCTTTGTTCTCGGGGTAGGCCGCCATTCGGGAAACGAACACGTGGCGGTGGCCATTTTAAAACTCCCGAACAGCGGTGTTTTGCCGTCGAGTGTCTGGAACTCAAATCGGACACTCGACTAGGCGAACACCGCTGAGACCTCCACAAGCCCGGTCCGTTCGGTTCCAAACTACCGAACGGCCCCTCGTTCGGTAGATAGAAACAACCGAACGAGGGGATTCAGATGAACCCTCCCTAGTCTCTGTAACTGGAGGCTTTTGTGTTTGTTCCTTTGTTCCAGGACCGACCGCAGCGCCCCATCGCATGGAACTCCATTCAGCTAGTCTTTCCAGCGCGGTCAGTCATTTTATTCCCTCCATAAATTTCCCGAACCCCTGGTCTGATCTGGGTGATTTTTGGATATGTTGTTCACCCAGATCAGGGCTACCAGGGGATGTATAATTTAAAGCGGTACCCCTAGGTTTAGGGGTACATCCAGAAACGGGGGGAATTGGTGTCCTGGATAAGAGGATTATGATGCAGGCTGAGGGGAGGAGATGTGTGGGAGGTTACCAGAACAGGATTGGCTACTGTATTAAGGACTGTAAATCCCTCCCTTGCATGGGAGCATGCTTTATAAGGCCACTGTCTGAATAAATCTTTAGTTCTTCTCCTGATGCTGTGTGTCGTCGAGTTATTGGGATTGCTGTTGGGATATAGCTTGGTGCTACTTCTAAGTGCTGTTTCTAAGTGTGTAGTTGGAGATATTCTGGAGATAAACTGGAGGTAATCTGAGGTATTCAGGAGGATAAATACAAAGTTAAGATTTGTTAGATTTAAATTATTCTCCTAATTGGAATGGCAGACTTAGTTCAGTGTAACAATTGCTATGCATTTGTTTCACGTTCCACTTTTTGGAGGTTTGATTGTTGTCTAATCTGTAGACAGTTCTCTATCTTGCGGCAGGAGATTGTATTTTTGAAATCTGAGATTTGTAAATTATCTGGTGAACAAACTCAGACTGGAACTGCTGCAAAGCCACTGCCGCAGAGACATACTAGGAAAGGCAGATGGATAACTGTAGGATCTGGTAGACTTAGAGTTGTTGATAAAAGGCATTTTGCACAGTCTGTTGCTCTTCATAATTCATTTTCTGCACTTTCAGAGTGTAATGGTGTGGTGTTGTGGAGAGAGGCACTAGGCTAGTGGTGTTGTGGAGAGAGGCACTGAGGCTAGTGGTGTTGTGGATAGAGGCACTGAGGCTAGTGGTGTTGTGGAGACCGGCTTGGAGACTATGGTGAGGCCTAATAGAAAGCAGTTGTTGTTGGGGGATTCCATTATAAGAGGTGTGGAGATAGACAATGGTGGTCTTGTGAGGTGTCTTCCCGGAGCTACTGCTCACAGAGACAGGAGACGTATCTGTAATATTGTTAAGCAAGCAAAGCAGGAAGGGGAATTGGATGTACTTGTCCATCTAGGGACAAATGACTTGGCTTGCAATGAGGTTTCAGAGGTTAAGGAAGTTTTTAGTGTTTTTGCCAATGATATACGGCAGGTTGCTTCCACACTGTCATTCTCTGAAGTTCTGCCTGTGCATAACACTCAGAACGACAGGCGGATGCGTATTAGGGACTTTAATTTGTGGCTTGGTGAATGGTGTCGGGAGCAAGGATTTGGCTTTATTTCTCATGGTAGCTCTGTTTGGAATGGAGATAAGCTGTACAAAAAAGATGGTTTGCATCTTTCTCAAAAGGGAACAAATGTTCTCAGTGAGCAGTTCAGAGGTTTTGCTAGGATGTATTTAAACTAGGAGGGGGGGCAAAAGGGTGATAAAACATCAATCCAATTGTCCCCCAAAACAAGGACAGAAGGTGCCTGTAGCAAGTGTGTTAAAAAATGATAAGCTTAGAGTCATGTCTACAAATGCTCGCAGTTTAGGGAATAAGATCCATGAACTTGTGGCAATAATGGCAACTGATAGTGTAGATTTAGTCGCTGTTACTGAGACATGGTACAATGAGAAAAATTACTGGGACATAGCAATACCAGGGTACTCTTTATATAGGAAAGATAGGGAAGGCAAGAAAGGGGGAGGGGTGGCCTTGTATGTGAAGGATAGCATAAAATCTAGCCTAATATAAGTTAGTGAGGCAAACATAGAGTCCGTTTGGGCTACGTTAGAATTTGGTAATCACACAGTAACTCGTGTAGGTGTGATTTATAGGCCCCCAGGACAAATTGAAGAGTTAGATAATCTACTAGTTGAGGAAATAGCTAAAATGACAATGAAGGGGGAAATTATCATCATGGGTGACTTTAATCTTCCTGATGTAAATTAGAAAACAAAATTAGCTACTTGTGCCAGGAGCACACATATTCTAAACTCCCTACTGGGATTGTCTCTAAAACAAGTTGTTGAGGAAACAACTCGTAAAGAGGCCATACTAGATTTAGTGTTAACAAATGGAGATTTGGTATCAGATATTACTGTAGGTGAAAGTTTAGGATCCAGTGATCATCAGTCAGTGTGGTTTAATATAAGAACAGTGACTGAGTCACACCACACAAAAACAAAAGTTTTAGACTTTAGAAAAGCAGACTTTTCTAAAATTAGAATATGGGTAGAGGAGTCATTATCAGACTGGAGCAATTTAAATGGAGTCCAAGAGAAATGGGATTATTTAAAAGTTGCACTATTGAAGGCAACAGAAAATTGCATTAGGCTTGTCAGTAAAAGCAAAAAATTCAAGAAACCACTGTGGTACTCCGCAGATGTGGCCAAAATAGTTAAAAACAAAAAGTTAGCATTTAGGAATTATAAAAAAACCCAGAGTGAGGAAGACAAAATGATCTATAAGATTAGGCAGAAAGAGGCTAAGCAAGTTATAAGAGCTTCCAAATCACACACAGAAGAGAAAATAGCACAGTCAGTAAAAAAGGGGGATAAAACATTTTTAGATACATAAATGAGAAAAGAAAAGTAAAACAAGGATTAGTTAGATTAAAAACAAAAGAAGGAAGGTATGTAGAAGAGGATAAAGGTCTAGCTGACTGCCTTAATGAATATTTTTGTTCTGTATTTACAGATGAAAATGAAGGAAAGGGACCTCAGTTGAGAAAAAGGATAAATGAGTCATTTATTACACGTGAGTTTACAGAGGAAGAGGTTCTATTTCAACTGTCAAAAGTAAAGACAAATAAGTCAATGGGACCTGATGGAATACACCCAAAGCTATTAAAAGAGCTTAGTGGTGTACTAGCAAAACCATTAACAGATTTATTTAACCAATCATTGTTAACAGGAGTAGTCCCAGAAGATTGGAAGTTAGCGAATGTTGTGCCCATTTACAAGAAAGGTAATAGGGAGGAGTCGGGCAACTATAGGCCAGTAAGCCTTACTTCAGTAGTGGGGAAAGTGATGGAAACCATGTTAAAGGATAGGATTGATGAACATCTAAAAACACATGGATTTCAAGATCAGAGACAACATGGGTTTACTTCAGGGAGATCATGCCAAACTAATCTTATTGATTTTTTTGATTGGGTAACTAAAATTATAGATCAGGGTGGTGCAGTAGACATTGCTTACCTAGATTTCAGTAAGGCTTTTGACACTGTTGCACATAGAAGGCTTATCAATAAACTGCAATCTTTAAGTTTGGATTCCAATATTGTTGAATGGGTAAGGCAGTGGCTGAGTGACAGGCAACAGAGGGTTGTAGTTAATGGAATATATTCGAAGCTTGGACTTGTCACCAGTGGGGTACCTCAGGGATCTGTACTTGGACCCATTCTCTTTAATATTTTTATTAGTGATATTGCAGAAGGTCTTGATGGTAAGGTATGTCTTTTTGCTGATGATACTAAGATATGTAACAGGGTTGATGTTCCAGGAGGATAAGCCAAATGACAAATGATTTAGGTAAACTAGAAAAATGGTCAGAATTGTGGCAACTGACATTTAATGTGGATAAGTGCAAGATAATGCATCTTGGACGTAAAAACCCAAGGGCAGAGTACAGAATATTTGATAGAGTCCTAACCTCAACATATGAGGAAAGGGATTTAGGGGTGATTATTTCTGATGACTTAAAGGTAGGCAGACAATGTAATAGAGCAGCAGGAAATGCTAGCAGAATGCTTGGTTGTATAGGGAGAGGTATTAGCAGTAGAAAGAGGGAAGTGCTCATGCCATTGTACAGAACACTGGTGAGACCTCACTTGGAGTATTGTACACAGTACTGGAGACCGTATCTTCAGAAGGATATTGATACCTTAGAGAGGGTTCAGAGAAGGGCTACTAAACTGGTTCATGGATTGCGGGATAAAACTTACCAGGAAAGGTTAAAGGATCTTAACATGTATAGCTTGGAGGAAAGACGAGACAGGGGGGATATGATAGAAACATTTAAATATAAAGGGAATCAACACAGTAAAGGAGGAGACTATATTTAAAAGAAGAAAAACTACCACAACAAGAGGACATAGTCTTAAATTAGAGGGACAAAGGTTTAAAAATAATATCAGGAAGTATTACTTTACTGAGAGGGTAGTGGATGCATGGAATAGCCTTCCAGCTGAAGTGGTAGAGGTTAACACAGTAAAGGAGTTTAAGCATGCATGGGATAGGCATAAGGCTATCCTAACTATAAGATAAGGCTAGCGACTAATGAAAGTTTTTAGAAAATTGGGCAGACTAGATGGGCCGAATGGTTCTTATCTGCCGTCACATTCTATGTTTCTATGTTTCTATAACCTTATAGCTGCAGTTATAATACACTGTGTGCGGGGAGACAGGGGACTTTCTTACACCATAACCTTATAGCTGCAGTTATAATACTTGGTGATTTAGGGTTCCTTTAAGGATTTTCCACTTACAGATAAATTAAATATATTGTGTTTAAAACACAGGGCACAAAACTTGCCCGGGGGTGTCATTCAGCTACAGAATATCCCTGCTCTTGTGGTACTTTATTATTCATGTTCTGTTTAATTCGGTTGGAAAATAAAGTTTAGATTTTGATGCAGATTATTGTAGATAGACTTTGTAAAAGGAAGTCTGGTTTTCACTGGTGTTTTCCATCTAAACAAGGCCTGCAGACAGGGCTTTGGTTTTCTTGTATCACCCTGTCCCGTGTTATGCTTCATCTAACTTGTATTTTTCCGATTTACGTCAGATCAAAGCTGTAGATCCGAAAACAAAGAACTGTGTTACCATAGCTGGCACTGGTGAGGCTGCTAATGTCGCCGGTGTAGACTTCACGCACGCGGCATTCAATGAACCTGGTGGTCTGTGCGTTGATGGCCACTTGTTGTATGTTGCAGACACCAATAATCATCAAATCAAAGTCCTGGACCTGGAGCGCAGAACTGTTACTGAGGTATGGTAACTGAATACATTGTGAAAAATAACGCTCACTCAGAGACTCCACAGTAGGGGTAACCCTTATAAAACCACAGTGGTTTGTGGGTCACTGAGGTTTAGGTTCTATGAAGGAGGTTAATATATTGGATAAGTGATCTTTATTACACCTGGACCAATCAAGTATGTGCTTGTGATAATACATACAGATACAAATGGTATGC